CCTCATGAAGAAACTGCTTTTTTATTTTAGATTGGTACATATTTGATTTGCTTTTTCTTTCCTAGCCAAACAGAAAATTTTAATTTTGGTTTTAATTACTTTCTTGTCCTGAAAAATTATTGCATGTAATATGAAGCCCCTCTCAATTCGGTAACTTTCTACTAGTTAGCCAATTAAGGTCATCAGTGTTTTAGAAAGTGAATGAATGAATGGCTAGACAGATAGATTCATTTAAATCATTTCTGCTGCATGCTATGTTGTTTATGATGAGCCATGTAATATCTAAGGTTTTGCCTCTTCTTAGCTATTTTTTTCTTTTTAACATAGTTTCCAGGCACTGTCACAAACCCTTTGATTCTTTGATAGCTAAACTCTTAATTTCTTTCTTAAGATGTTCATTTTCATTAAAGTGCTATTTAACGTAGATATTAACTTTGACAGATATTAATGCTCCTTCTCAATTTGGTGAAGTGTATTCTTGGGAAAGTGCCAATTTGAATTGAATATATTTGAACTTAGTATGTGAGCTAAACTGTTGTTTAAACCTTACCCATCCATCATATGGGTGATGGAGCAGCCAACTGGTTTTATAGTAAGTTTTTTGTGGTTTTTTTCTAGCAATATTTAAACATTAGAAAATGGTTTCCTATTCTAGCAAAGAGAAATTCATATAAATTTACTACAAGAGCCCCTCGTCAGTTCCTTAGACTGCCTAGAATTTAAATTGGCAGACACTACTTTGATATAAAATGTTTTCCGTGGACAGTATTAATATTTTAAAGTCCTTTTCACTCCTGCATATTTCCAGTAGACAGGAAGTCTAGCTCTGTTTACCCTTTGGCTACTAATGACAGCTGTTGAATTATTATTGATCATCTTTAGGCAGAGGTACTACAGGTATGAGATCAGAATTGCCAAGTAAGGCAAGCATTTAATTTTAAAATTTAAAAGTTAATCTATTCAAAGGTGACAACTGAAGTGTGGATACTAGAAAGAATTTTGAATTTGAGTCACAAAATCTGGGTTGAATCCCCAACACGTCACTGGCTTAGTTGGCCACCTCAAGCAAGTCACTGCCCAACTCTGGACTATAGTATTCTCTCTAAAGGCACAGCTTTAACACTGAATTTTCTATATACAATGTTATTCTATATTCTATAAAGAGAGCTTGGTTGAGGAAAGCTGAATCCTCTTGTTTATCAGCTATGGACACCAGCCTGGCAGCTCTGAGGTCAGTCTCCAGCTGCATTTTCATCTTTTTATAATCCCTTAAATCCTTGCTGAGCTTTCATTGCTAGTTTGTTTCCCTAGAAATTTGCATTTAGAGACATTGAAGACTTCCTACCTTTGGAATTGTTCTGTGCTCATGAGTTTAATGAAAAGTTACTTAGAGATGGATGAAAAAAATGCAAGAATCAAAAATCCTAATTGAATGACTCTGTAAAATCAGACCATTTCCATCATGACTATGTACCTTTACTATTTCAGAATTTTGGAGTCAGTGTGTTTAAATCTTGACAGGGTGTGGCATCACTGTCATTTCCTCCCATTAACCATGTTTGCATTTTCCCATTCACTCCTTATTCTACGCGTTCTTTTTTAAAGCCTAAAACAATTAAACAACAAGACTTCATACCATAAGAAAAGCTTCCTAGCCTGATGCTCAATTACATTTTAGGTATTTGAAAATTTCATTGATTTGAAATAGTTTGAATTGTACTAAGCTAAAATTTACCTTTTGTTGGTTGCCTAGGAAATAAAGTTAAAGTAATAACTTGCCTGAAAGTGTTAAGAAATTAACTGTATGGAAGCTTTAGCATGTTTTTTAAAATGAAAAAGCTACAGCTAGATATAAAACATGCTTAATTAAAGAGGCCTGGCGCTTTAATCAAAAGGGCAGACAATAACAAGCATTGGTGAGGATGTGGAAAAACTGGAACCTTCATACGTTGCTGGTGGGAAAGTAGAGTTGTGCAGCCATTGTGAGGAACAATTTGCTGGTTCCTCAAAAAGTTAAAGATTATTACCTTTATGACCTAGCAACTCCACTCCTGGGTATCTACCCAAGATAAATGAAAACATATGTCCTCATTAAAACTTATGCATGAATGTTCATAGCAGCATTATCAATAAAAGCCAAAAAGTAGAAACAGCTCAAATGTCCATCAGTTCATAAATGGGTAACAAAATGTGGTTTATTCATATACTGAGATATTATTAGGCAATTACAGGGATGAAGCACTGATGCATACTACACCATGGCTGAAAATTCAAAACATTATGCTAAGTGAAAGAAGCCAGATACAAAAGGCAATATATTGTATGATTCTACTTACATGAAATGTCCAGAATAGGCAGATCCATAGAAACAGAAAGTAGATTAGCAGTTGCCAAGAGCTGGGAAGTGGGGGAAATATATAGTGATTGCTAATGGGTGCAGTGTTTCTTTTAGGGGTGACAAAAATGTTCTAATTTTTAGTAATGATGAGGATTGCACAACTCTGTAAATATAACAAAAACCACTGAATTGTACACTTTAAAACGGTGAATTTTGTGGTATGGAATTATATCAATTGCTATAGATAAAACACCAGCGACTGTACTTACTATAACTATTTGAAAGTACAAAAGAGTATTTAAATTACATTTTATTCCAGGGGCTGGGGATAAGGGAGAATGGAAAGTTAGTATTTGACGGGTACAGAGTTTCAGTTTGGAAAGATGAAAAAATTCTGGACATAGATGGTGGTGATGGATGCACTACAATGTAAATATACTTAACTCCACAGGAAATATATGCTTAAAAATGATTAGAATAGTGAATTTTATGTTATATCTATTTTACCACAATAAAAATCCATAATCCCCCAACATTATATTTTATATTATTCTAATGGATGAGGCCTCTTTTCCTCTTTTTCTTCTAACAGGAAAAGTGAAATGTGATTGGACATTTTTTTTTTTTTTTTTTTTTTTTTTGGCATGGGATTCTTCTGCTCTGGTTTTTCAACCTCTCTCCTCCAGTACATGTGAATGTGGCGGGGCCTGGTTATACACACACGTGTCTTTATCTTGGCTTTGAATGAAAACTTAAAAGTATTTTTTTAAAAATTCATTTGCCAGTAGGAAAATAAAAGAAGTCAAACCATAGGAAATTTATGTCGTTAAATTATAAAATAGTGAAATGCTGTTCTCAGAATATGAATTATCACAGATGTCCTGATTTTTTTTTAATCTTGAGTTCTCAAATGGGAAAAACATTTATTACATCTTTATATCTTCCTATAGCCACTTTTCTTTGTATAGTAGGATAGAATGAGCACCAAAATGCATTGTAAATAAACACAGTGGTGAATTTCAGAATAAAAAGGAAGGGATGGGAAAATGAAAGAAAAAAAAATCCACCATCGAAAAATTCATTGAAAAAAAATTCTTTCCAAAGGCCACAGAACTTTGTTATGACCCAACCAGTTTGTAGGATATGAGTTTGTAACCTCTGAGGATTAATCTGTGAAAACATTTTCTAAGTCTGGCTGCTATCTAGGACATTTGGAGATGGATGGTGTGAATGCCAGTAGTACCATTAATATACTGGGCAATCAGAGATGTGTTTATTTTTTTCTTGATCAGGAAGTGGTTTCTTTTGAAAGTAGAGGGAACACACAGTGCGCGCGCGCGTGTGTGTGTGTGTGTGTATTCTGTCCTGTTGCAGGAGGAATTACGGTCTTCTAACATTTAACAGTGGGTTTTTTCTAGAGTTTGACACTGTGATTACAAGAGCTAGTCATAGATGATGTACTCAGAAATCCATTGATGTGATTAATGGTCTCCTAATCATATTTGTATTTCCTACATTAGTGCCATTTCCTGTAGTTTCACAATTTTGAGTCATATCTTGATTTATCCTTTATAGGAGGCCTGAATTCCTTGTGAGTATTTTTAGTCTATAATTTACATTATTATTTTCACTTTCTTTGATTTTTTTTTCTTTTAGAAAATGAAACTTTGATCTTGAACTCTTTGAGGACTGTTCTGTGGTGACTGGCCAACCTAGTATAAACCTTTTTTAAAACGTTGTGATTTAAAACTTCATTTGCCAGTTGGAAAATAAAGAAGCCAAACCATAGGAAATTTATGTATACACACACACACACACACGCGTATATACATACATATACAGAAAGTAGATTAGTGGTTGCCAGGAGCTGGGATATGGGGGAAATACAGTGATTGCTAATGGGTGCAGTGTTTCTTTTAGGGGTGACAAAAATGTTCTAATATTAAGTGTGATGATTGCACAACTCTGTAAATATACCAAAAGCCACTGAATTGTATACTTTAAAAGGGTGAATTTTGTGGTATGGAATTATATCAATAAAATTGTTATAGATAAAACATCAGTGACTGTATTTGCTATAACTATCTGAAAGTATGAAAGCGTATTTAAATTACATTTTATGCTAGGGGCTGGGGGTGAAGGAGAATGGGAAGTTAGTATTTAATGCATACAGAGTTTCAATTTGGAAAGATGGAAAAGTTCTGGAGATGGATGGATGAATGTGCATGTATGTATGTGTGTGTGTGTGTATATATATACACACACGTGTGTGTGTGTGTGTGTGTGTATAATTTTTACCACCACCAGCACTAGATCCTGAAATCTTCCCACAGGTTTCCACTAGTCTGGTTTTTATCCTTCTCAAAGGTAAAATATAACATTTGAAAATTCTACAGGTCATAAATAATGACATCAGGAAATGTAATTGATCATTCACTCTTTACAAGAAGTGGTCATAAGATTGGCTAACAAACACAATCTGTTAAATGAAAAATGACACTAAAATCTTTGGGAGCTTTGAATACATTTGAAGATTATCGGTACCTTTGGCACTTTACTGATTGTTTTTAAGTCTTTCACCTTTTTCAAATGATTGTCTGCATTTGAAATGGGGAACTTTCATATACAGTGATTGCTTTAATATTTGCTTTGTTTTCAACAGTGCCCTTAAAGATAGCCGTTTCCCCCCAATGACAAGGGATGAGCTGCCACGGCTTTTCTGCTCAGTGTCTCTGCTCACTAACTTTGAAGATGTCTGTGATTATTTGGACTGGGAGGTAAGACTATGGAAAAATTTTTAAAGAAAAATGAAGGTAACTCTTGAGTGGATGTTAAAAATTAGGCCTCTTGGAAACTGGCAGTCCATATAAAAAATTAGCTCCCCCCCAAAAGAAAAATTAGGTTCAGAAAATAACTCTTTCAACCCATTCTCTTATTGTAATAGAGGTCGAGAGTCACACACATACATAAACCTCACAGTTGAACAATGAGATGAGAATAAAAGAGAGTTTAGAGGACAAAGTGCCATATGTTGTTATAATTCCCAAACTGAATTTGGTTTTCATTTTTATCCTACTGCCTCACCAAAGCATCTCATAAAAGCTGTTAATAAGTAGTAAGAAGGACTGACTGGAATGTATTTCTCCTCTTATTTCCATTCCAGTGCACTCTGGTGTAACTGTCAGCAAGCAATTAGGTGGTCAGAGGATACATCTCAGAAACAAGAAACAAGAATTAGTTAAGATAATATACCATTTGGGGAAATCAGCTTGTGATAATAACAGGGGGTTGGCTAACTAGAGTTAAAGAATGCCAATTCAGTTCTTGGCTACCTTAACGTATGCCCTTAAACATAATAACAAATAATATTAAGGCTATATCTGGGGTATCTCTGTGCATAGCCACGATCAGAGTAGCTTATATTGGTCATATTTTTATTCTTCTTTAGTATGTAGGGTTGGCTTGTTAGTGAAGTTCAGAGGTTGTCTCCATGATTTTGTTTGGGTAATTGGGAGGAGATAGTTGAGTGTAGGTCTGTGGAGTCTATGAAATTGTATACACAAACACAACTATGTTATTGAATGCCTACTGTATTCCGGGCAGTGTGTTACATGTACAAAAGTGGTAAGATTTGATCCCCACCATAAAGCATCATTTAGCCTAGTAGCAGAGAGAAAATATATATTACAATAGTACAAAGAAACAAGTGCTATGAGAAGGAAACAATGGAAATTCAGTGATATATGTATGTATGTGTGTGTGTGTGTGTGTGTGTGTGTGTATGCCCAAAAAAGTATACACATGTTATCTATGTGTAGAATAGGACGTTCACTCAACTGTGCTTCCTCCATTTTCTTTGACTGTCCTGCCTGTTGCATGGTGACGCTAGCATTCATTTGATGCCATCTTTTGAGCAAACGTCATACTTAAAATGTGTATACATTTTTTTGGTGCCCCTGCACATATAAAACTGCTGTCTTAGAAGGACTATCCCCCATGGTAACTGAGCTATTCTGCCTTGTAGACAGATCACTGTCTTCACAGCTAATTGGACTTGAATTTCATTTTTGACTTTGCCTTGATTCCTTGTGAAACTGAGCAATTTACTTACTCCACTGAGATTCAGTTTTTCCATATACAGAATAAGACGTTTATAAAGTTCTTAATCCTCATTTGAAAAAATCTCTATGTTATAAATTATTGTTGTTATGCCAGAGCTATTTAAAAACTTTTCTGCAGCAAGTATGATGCAAGAGTTCTTTCGGGGTTTTGTGGTGGGGATTTTGGGAGCATTATCAGAATATGAACACATCTTAGGATTTTTTTAAAGGAAGAAATAAAATGAACTGATAGTGTTAATCCTAGCAAAGTTGGAATATATAAAACCTTTTGTAAAATTGAAATTTCCTACTTTATTGTTTCCTATAAGTTTGTTTCTCCTATTTGATTTTTCTTAAAGAGAAGCCTGCCGATATTATGGAAATATTCCCCCACTACTTTATTTTTAAATGATTCCAAATCATGTCCCCTATATATTAACATATATTATAGTTCTGATGGTTCTTTTACTGCTTTAAGGTTGCTGCTTCCTTTTCTGTAGCTAAAATTTTATTTCTGCTTTCTGGATTGTAGGGTGCTGTATGTGTAGTGGTGAGAGTGGGAGTGATTATAGGGAAAAAGTCTGGGATGTAGGAAATGACCAAGCTACAAGAACACTTCTACTCTTGCTTGAAGCCACCAAGTTGGATGTACATTTCATGTGTGTCTCACATACATATAGAATGATATAGATCATGTGTGCATGTGTGTTGGGGGAAGGAAAAAGGGGAGAATCTAACAGCTGTTAAATACGTATAGATAAGCACAGAGTAGTACACCATCATCTTTAGCCCACTTCAAGTACTGTCTACTGTTAAAATTAGCCTTGATACTATTGAGCTCTTATGTTCATGAGATGTATCAGCTTTGTCTTTGGTGGGTGGGAAGTAAAGCCCTTAAGAATTAGTACTGTATACTCTTTTAGGGTATTTATCCTCTTTGGTCACCATCTACCAGCTTGAATTTCTACAAGATTCCATATTGCTTCTACTTGGTATTGTGTATTTAGTACATTCCTTAGTGCTTAAATATTGGTGTCTGTTAAGTGATGCTTTTCTATTGAAACAAAAAATACATATGTTTTATACTTTTGATATACGAACATTTGCAAGTGAATTAAGTACTGCTAGAACGGGCATACTAAGAGGAAAAGACTGTTCTTTTCCATTAGTTCATTATTGGTTGAAATATTTGGCATTACAGAAATTTGCTCACAAAGAGTAAGAGTGAAAATTACATTTTTAAATACAAGAATGTAATTGGCCTTTAAAAATATGTACCATAATCAGTGATTGAAAATGGAATGGTAATATTGTGGGAATGATATTATATGAGTTATCCTTAATAATTCTGAAAAAGCATTGCTACTTTAAACACAGAATGCCAAAGTAGAATTAAAGGCATTTAAACAAATTATATATTGGTACAGTTCTACTCCTTGCTGTATACCCAAAAGAGTAACAGATTGAAACAAAAACGTGTACATGAATATTCATAGTAGCACTATTCATAATAGCCAAAAGGTGGAAACAACCCGAGTGTTTATCAACAAATGAATAGGTAAACAGAATATGGTATAGTCATACAATTGAATATTATTTAGCCATAAAAAGAAATGACATACTGATAATACTACAACATGAACCCTGGAAACATTATGCTAAGTGAAAGAAGTGAAACACAAAAGGCCACATACTGTATGATTCTGTTTATATGAGAAATCCTGAATGGGCAAATCCATGGAGACAGAAAGCATATTAGCGGTTGTCAGGGGCTGGGGGAAGGGTTGAATAGGAAGTGACTGCTTAATAGATACCGGGTTTCCATTTGGAGTGATGAAAACGTTCTGGAACTAGGTAGTGGTGATGGTTGCACAATATTGTGAATATATTTAATGCCACTAAATTGTATACTTTAAAGTTGTTAAAATGACAAATTTTATGTTATGTGTATTTTACCACAATAAAAATGAAAAATAAACTTTATACCCACATACACTGACTGTCCATAATAGTAATTTTAATTTATTGAAAATGAAATTTTTTAAAAAAGCTATAAAGAAGGAAATGCAAGTCATTTATAATTACACCATTCTGACAATAACTGTTGTTAGCATTTTGGAATGTTTCTTTCCATTCTTTGTGTCTTTGTATTAATAAATCTGCATATTTGGTTATGTAACTAAGATCATATTGAATATACAGTCACTATTTAAAAGAAGCTTATGGGGAAGTCTTTGCTTTTGGTTCATCTTTGTGTGTAAGTTAATTATTTATATTGCAAATTTCATTTTTGAAAAGTCAGTCTGTATTATGAAAGATACACTTCGCTTTGAAAAATTTCATACTGTTGAATAGGTACAGCTTCTCTTCCAAGAATTAAATATCCTATTCACCATAAGTATCTAATTTTAACCTGAAATGCAAAGTCCTATGTATGTTTATGCTCTGGGGGAAAACAAGGGTATTATAGAATTTTTAGAGATAATTTTAAAGCCAAAAATAGGTAATAAGTATGTTTTATACAAGCAGAAGCTTCTAACATAGGGCTTTTCTGGCACAAGTACAGTTTGAGAGTTGATCCCCCACTGGTGAAGTGTGTTACTGTAGTAGAATTCCAAATTAAAGGGATACAAGTACCCAGATCAAAGCGAGAAGAGGGCAAGTCCCAAAGCGTAGAGGTAGGTAACTTTGCTAACAAGAGAGACATCCCTGTGATCATGAGGATGAGGAACGTGACTCATGGTGATAGCCACTTGATTTTCACATGATCAGGAAACAAATGAACTGCCACAGGGCTGGCTACTGTCGTACTGTTTTATTTCACCCAAGATTTTTAACTCAGTCTATTTAGGAACTCTTTTTTGGCAACATGTCTCTAATTTTATAATGGATGTTAATAGGAAAGTCAGATTTACTTCGGAGTTTGTTTTAGGGGCTAGGTGCTTCTGTTTGATAATGTGAGGAATGTTAATGTGAGGAATGATTTCACAAATGGATGTAATTAATTTCAGGCCAATGTTGAATGAACAGAATGATCAATAATGCTTCCATGTGTTATATTTCCTCAAAATGGTAATTATAACATCTAAAATGAGTTTCCATAGGTAACCTCTCAAAGAATCTGGTTAGTCATTAAAAACAACAAAACCATCCATAAAAAGCTATAAAGACAAATTAGCGCAGTGGCCCCACCCTTCTGAGAATTGCTGATCATTATCCACATCATGATCTACTGATTGCCCTGACAGGTATGAGAAGGATGAAGATTTAATAGTTTGTAGCAGGGCGTGGTAGCGCGCGCCTGTAGTTCCAGCTACTTGGAATGCTGAGGCGGAAGGATCGCCGGAGCCCAGCAGGTCGAGGCTGCTGTGGCAGGGAGCGGCCACTGCACTCCAGTCTGGGTGACATAGTGAGACTCCAACTCAAAAAAAAAAAAGAAAGATTTAATAGTTTAGAAAAAAATATTCATTACCTGATAAGATGGAATATCTACCTGCAAGGCTAAAATGGATTATTAAATGAGGAAAATTGCTCCTCTGGGAGAAATCCAACATGATATTCTTTGTGTTTGAACACAGAAAACTCATCACCATTGTTCTGTGTTTTTCAGTTGACAACATGGTGTTAATTCTGAATAACAGGGTGATTGACAGACATGGTGCTTTAGAAAGAAAAAA